CTGTACACTGCTACCTAAAGTTAATTGTACCCTACAGTACACTGCAACCTAAGGTTCACCGTACGCTGNTGGACTGTAGTTGTGTAGTTCTGGACTGTAGCTGTGTAGATCTGGTCTATAGTTGTGAATCTATGGACTGTAGTTGTGTAGTTCTGGACTGTAGTTGTGTACTTCTGGTCTATAGTTGTGTAGCTCTGGACTGTAGTTGTGTCGCTCTGGACTATTGTTGTGTAGTTATGGACTGTAGTTGTGTAGCTCTGGACTATAGTTGCGTAGTTATGGACTGTAGTTGTGTAGCTCTGGACTAAAGTTGTGTAGTTATGGACTGTAGTTGTGTAGCTCTGGACTATAGTTGTGAAGTTCTGGACTATAGTTGTACAGCTATGGACTGTAGTTGCGTAGTTCTGGGCTGTAGTTGTGTAGCTCTGGACTTTAGTTGTGAAGTTCTGGACTATACATGTACTTGTGTAGTGCTGGACTGTAGTTGTGTAGCTCTGGACTGTTGTTGAGTAGTTCTAGACTATAGTTGTGTAGTTCTAGACTATAGTTGTGTAGCTCTGGACAGTAGTTGTTTTATTCTGAACTGTAGTTGTGTAGCTCTGGACTGTTGTTGTGTAGTTCTGGACTGTAGTTGTGTAGCTCTGAACTGCAGTTGTGTAGCTCTGGACTATAGTTGTGTAGGTCTAGACTATAGTTGTTTAATTCTGGACTATATTTGTGTAGGTCTAGACTATAGTTGTTTAATTCTGGACTGTAGTTGTTTAACTCTGGACTGTAGTTGTGTAGCTCTGGACTGTAGTTGTGTAGCTCTGGAATATAGTTGTGTAGTTCTGTACTGTATTTGTGTATTTCTGTACTGTAGTTGTGTAGTTTCGAAATGTAGTTGTGTAGCTCTGGACTGTAGTTGTGTAGCTCTGGACTATAGTTGTGTAGCTCTGGACTGTAGTTGTGTAGTTCTGGACTGTAGTTGTGTAGTTCTGTACTGTAGTTGTGTAGTTTCGAAATGTAGTTGTGTAACTCTGGACTGTAGTTGTGTAGCTCTGGACTATAGTTGTGTAGCTCTAGACTGTATTTGTATAGCTCTGGACTCATTCATTCATTCATATCTTTATTCCTCCAAATTTGAAGAGTTACAAATGACATATATATGGGTTACAAAAATAGATACACAAAATACATAAGTATAACGCAAAATGAAAAAGAAAAATCAGTGGAATCAAACAAAAAAAGTTGCATGATTACACAATATATGAGGTACACAACGATAAATAAAGACATACACAGGACTATATCAAACAGCAAGGGAACATGTATGTAACGACAGGACTGTCAAATTGCCAGGATGAACCAGATATAATACGAATGCATATGATTTACATGTCTGGCAGACTATCGTCGTTAATTAAATGTAAGAAGGGATACTTTTTCAGCATAAATACAACAATCTCTTGCAAAAGATGCGAAAAGGCTGTCCTCATTAACAAATATGTCTTTCATGGCAGCAGATGGACTGCCGAGGAATGTCGCAATTTGCACCTCCCTACATGAGTTAGCAAGAACAACATACACATTCACCGGATAATCGTTGACTATCTTGGTGAAAAGTTCATCACGTAGAGTTAGCAATGTGGGACTACGGCAGTCTAAAATACAATGCGCAACTGCATCTTCTGCAAAGATATTGCACTGGGCACATGATAGTTCACTATTAGGTGGAATACCCCATAGCTTTGCAACGTTTTTACACGTTGTGTTGAGATAAGGGAAACATTTAGATAGGTACCATAGTGGCGAAGGGCTGATCTCACAATGTAGGTGTTTAAATCTTAAGAACTCATCACAAGCATTGAGACGTTCACTCCATTGCGAGGAGTACTCACCTAATACGACACCTTTTGTGAAGTGTTTCCAATAGTTTTTAACCGGGACAAACCCAGTTTGCAAAAATTGGTACAAAAAGTCTTGTAGATCATATTTGTGAAGTATGTTCCAGATGTCTAGAACAAAACCTTTTTCGTTACAACAAATGCCAAAATATACATGAAAAAGTCTCAGTAAGAACAATCTCTTTGCTGTAAAACGTGCATCTGTTCTGCATAAAGCAGAGAAGAATCGAAGTTTCGATAGTTCAATGTTTAGACGTATGGACGTAAGTCCAAGCATACTAAGGACAATATCTGATCTAGTGCGCCGCGGAAAACCTTGAATGAGCTTTGCACACAAATGGTGAACTGTTTCAATGCGATTCCATTCGGTCTCGGAAAGTGAATACCAGAGTTCACCGCCAAAAAGGCTACTTGGCATTACAATTGTTTTATACAGCTTAGCACCGGTCAATGGGTTGATTCCAGTACCAAATAAGTTGCAGTTAAGCAAAGCAAAACATTGACCACGTAGCTTGTGAACAATCTCATTGACATCTGGACAGCCTGGTTTGAACTTATTCAAAAAGATACCGACATGTTTACAATGAATAGATTCAGGGAGTGCTTCGCTGCCGAGACTCCATCTGCGTGTTATCTTTGAAAAGACACTTTTGCTTTCATTAAAAACAATTACGGTAGATTTTGATGCGTTGTAACTAAATCGCCACTTACAACTGTAACTGTAGCAGATGTCCATGAGACAGTCCAAGCCATGTTTACAAAAAGACAGAAGGGTAATATCATCTGCTTGAGTTGGACAAGTAACATTTACACCATGTATAAGTAAAGAGTACTGTGAAGCACATAACTCATCCAGTAAATCATTAATAAAAACTGTATACAGCCAGGGAGAAATAATGCTTCCCTGACGCGTACCTTGGCATATCTTAAACCAGTTAGAAATAAAACCTTGGTGCAATACTGCGCTGTACATATTTGAGTATAATGAAACAATGATATTGATATACTTTGAATTTAGACCTAAACTGTGAAGTTTGAAAAATAGGCCGTTATGCCAAACACAGTCAAATGCTTTGGCAGCATCAAGAAAACATGTAAAAAGTTTACTGTTATTATCACACGCATATGTGATAGATTCATGGACTAGAAATGACGTGAAAGTACTACTTACATTCTTTTGAAATCCATTCTGTAAGGGGTTAGGTATAAACAAGTTTGTATCCTCAAGTCTGATAAGTAATAATTTCTCAAAGACTTTCAGAATCACTGGCAACAGAGAGATAGCACGATAACTATTGGGGTCACTCTTTGGCTTGTTATGACCTTTGTATAGTGTACAGATCAGACCCTTTGTTAGTACAGGAGGAACATACTCCAATCTTAAAAAAGCATTAAAAAGAACATACAAACAGTTGTACACAGTGTCGTGGGCATAGAGTAAATGCTCGTACACAATTTGATCGTGCCCAGCTGCTTTACCTTGTGGTAAACTTTTACAGACCTTTTTAACGTCAGACATAGAAATTTCAACAAAACATTCATTGTTTACTATATGATTGGATAGAATATTGGCAACAGATGTATTGATTTGGTCTGCAAAATTAGCATCAAAGTCATTAAGAGACGACTGGGAATATATGTCTTCAAAATATTCACCCCAATGTATGGCTAGAAGAGCAGGGTCTCTAATGACCCTCCCGCTAAAGTTCATTTCAGCGCCAACAGCACCCGAGGATGACTTACAGCGACTTTTGATGAGAGACCAAAACGATTTTTGATTTACATCCGCACATTTCTCAATGTCGTTGTTGAGGTTTACAATATGGTCTTCTGATACCTGACGATGTCTTTTCCTAAATAGGCACTTTGCATTTTTATAGAGCCTAAAGGTATTGGAGAGGGGGTCCCGAGGTCGTCCTTGAGAGATCCATTCCAGACGCAACCGCCACATATTACGATGGAGTTCCTTTAGATGATTATTCCAGTACGGTTTAAGGAATCTACAGAATTTACGCTTCGGTAACACACGTTCTGAAGTCCGCTGAATGCAATTCACAAGCTCGTTGGTGTAATTCTCAACATCGTCCTCAGAACAAAGCTCTTGCATGTTCACTAACGACGAGTTACTGATGCATTCATCCAGGCTATCGCGATAAACATCAACATTCTTAGAATCTCCAGAAGTAATCCACTTATAAGAGACTCGCGTCAGAGTATTACAACACGTTTCCCTAGGAACAGGAAGAGGAATGTGTAGCTCGCATAACAAAGGCCTGTGGTTCGAAACATCAAGGAAGTCACGATCTAGTACAGCGCATTCCCAGACGAGATCAACTTTTGACGAGTTGATGATAATGTGGTCTATAAGGGACGACGATCCATCCTCCGAATGAACATACGAGTGCAACGGACCGACACATATATCAGCTGTTGACAACGCGCACAACTGATGCCGGTCAATGAGTCTCTGGAGCGACTGACCACGCTGGTTTTGATAATTAGGGATACGTGGACCGCTTAGGCGAGCATTGAAATCTCCCATGAGAATTACTGATCCTTCAAGGGAAAAAGTTGTGCACAAGTCATCAAGTTTCTCAACATAATCCGTAAATATATCCACGCCATACCGAGAAGTAGGAAGATAAACCTGGATGAAATAAAGAATATCACTGTCCGTGACAAGCTTAATAATGGCGATCCTGTCGTCATCAGACTCCACGACAGACACACGATCGTTAAGTCTTTTGTGCCACATTATAGCAACACCGCCTTTACGAGATCGTTTATCCGCAAACGGATGTAGGGAAAAGTCAGATATGGCTATCGACTCGTAGTCTTTATGAATACTACAAAATAGGTGCCTATTTTCTTCGAAAAGCCAGTGCTCCGCTATTCCACAGATATCGACGTGTTCCCTGTTTAATGCGTCATGCAGATGAGAAGCAGCCGACATTATGCCGGTTACGTTCCACGACATTAACCGAATGTTCATCGACATGGGTAGGCAAAACCAAAGCAAAAGGAGTACAAAAATAAAGCTACTAGTACTCATCATCGTCAAATGCTGTGTTTTCCTTGTTACCGTAGAACTGGTTATTTGATAACCACTTGCGGCAGTGGATGCCTTTTGGCCAAAACCCAGCTTCCTTTGTCTTTGGAATATCGGACGAGATCACGTTGACACGCGCAGACACAGAATATTTCCGTTTGCTTTTAAGCAGACGAACAAACGTAACATTGACGTTACGAGATTCCAGGTATGATCTGATATCATCCACGGAACACCTTTCCAACGACATACCACTGAGAAAGAGGCGTGTGGTTTTTTTCCGAGCTACAGCGACGAATCCACTAGAATCGGCACTACATGCTTTGTTAGTTGGCTGTTTCGCAGCGAGCGAGTGTGACGGACATCTAGATTTCGGACTGTTTTCTACAGAGAGCACTCTAGAAGAAGCTTTAGAATCGACACTATCTTTGGTGATCAAATGTGATTTCGCATAAGATAGGTTAGAACAACTAGCACTGGGAGATTGCTGGGAAGGTCGCTTAGGACTTTCCGCAGGATGCGGTGACGTTCCACTAACGGATATGCCCTTCTGTGTTTCGACGATATGAGCAACAGGAGGAGCAATACTGTGCGGAATAGGAATAGCAGTCTTTTTGCCAGAAGACGATGGCGGAACACTGTCTATGAAGGAAATCTGGGCATTCTGCAACACAAATTCTTCCATACTAGTCAACTGGGAGCTGAGTTCCCCTGCAAATGCTCGGACAGCAATGTCTGTAGCTTGCTTCGCCTTACCAGTGACTTCTTTGACATCAGCTTCAACCTGTCGGATGCGCGGTTTCAGCGATGAGACACAGTCAACAGCCGAGGAAGCGCTTGACTTCGCTCGGCTGACATCTTGTTCCAACACAGTCATTTTCCCGTCAATGGTTCTGATATCATTGTGAATGGCCGAAGCANCGTACACTGCTACCTAAGGTTCACCGTACACTATTGTACACTGGAAACTAAGGTTCACCAGACGCTACTGTACACTGCTACCTAAAGTT